GCTGTAGAACTTCACTGCGTTCTCGTAATCCTTCCCTGGGCCGATGGTGGAGGTCAGGGGAGATGGGGGGGTCCCGGTTGGTAGCCCCCCTTGTGCCCCCGGCTCGCTATCTGGCAGCCCTTTCTGTTATGATCCTCCTGTATGGCGTCCTCCTCCAGCCATGGACGCTCTGTGGATCACTATCTGGCAGCTCCTTCCCTCTGTTAGCCCCTTTGGTTCCTCATGGATCACTATCTGGCAGCCCTTCCCCTCTGTTAGCCCCTTTGGTTCCTCATGGATCTCTATTTGGCAGCCCTTCCCCTCTGTTAGCCCCTTTGGTTCCTTACGGATCACTATCTGGCAGCCCTTTCCCCCTGTTAAACCCTTTGGTTCCTCATGGATCACTATCTGGCAGTTTCTTCCCTTCATTAACTCCTTTGGTTCCCCAGGGATCACTATCTGGCAGCCCCTTCCCTTCATTAACCCCTTTGGTTCCTCAGGGATCACTATCTGGCAGCCTCTTCCCTTCATTAACCCCCTTGGTTCCTCAGGGATCACTATCTGGCAGCCTCGTCCCCTCATTAACCCCTTTGGTTCTTCATGGATCACTATCTGGCAGCCTCGTCCCCTCATTAACCCCTTTGGTTCTTCATGGATCACTATCTGGCAGCCCTTCCCCTCTGTTAGCCCCTTTGGTTCCTTACGGATCACTATCTGGCAGATTCTTCCATTCATTAACCTCTTTGGTTCCTCAGGGATCACTATCTGGCAGCCCTTTCCCTCTGTTAGCCCCTTTGGTTCCTCATGGATCACTATCTGGCAGCCCCTTCCCTTCATTAACCCCTTTGGTTCCTCAGGGATCACTATCTGGCAGTTTCTTCCCTTCATTAACTCCTTTGGTTCCTTACGGATCACTATCTGGCAGCCCCTTCATTAACTCCTTTGGTTCCTCATGGATCTCTCTATTTGGCAGCCCTTTCCCTCTGTTAACTCCTTTGGTTCCCCAGGGATCACTATCTGGCAGCCCCTTCATTAACTCCTTTGGTTCCTTATGGATCTCTATTTGGCATCCCTTTCCCTCTGTTAACTCCTTTGGTTCCTTATGGATCACTATCTGGCAGCCCTTTCCCTTCATTAACCCCTTTGGTTACTCACGGATCACTATCTGGCAGTTTCTTCCCTTCATTAACCCCTTTGGTTCCTCGTGGATCACTATCTGGCAGCCCTTTCCCTTCATTAACCCCTTTGGTTCCTCAGGGATCACTATCTGGCAGCCCTTTCCCTTCATTAACCCCTTTGGTTCCTCGTGGATCACTATCTGGCAGCCCCTTCCCTTCATTAACTCCTTTGGTTCCTCGTGGATCACTATCTGGCAGTTTCTTCCATTCATTAACCCCTTTGGTTCCTGATGGATCATTATCTGGCAGCTCCTTCCCCTCATTGATTCCTTATGGATCCCAATCTGGCAGCTCCCCCTCCTCACAGCTCACTATCTGGCAGCTCCATCCACTTATTAACATCCTTAGCTCACTATCTGGCAGCCCCCTCCTCTACTGCCTCCCTCTTGCTCCCAATTTGGCAGCCCACTCCTCCCACTGCCAACTATGGCTCACTATTTGGTAGCCCCCTCCTCATTATTGCCCCTAATAGCTCCCTATCTGGCAGGCCCCTCTCCTTCCCCCCCAACCCCTCGCCACCCCACCCCCCTCAGCTCACTATCTGGCAACTCCTTTCCCTTACTACCCCCACTGATGGCTCCCTATCTGGCAACTCCTTCTCCTTGTGTCTCCCTATTTGGCATCCCCCTCCCCCCTCATTATATCC